AGCTGTTAATCTCGCCGGCGCATTTTTAGAATTTTCCGATGCCGCTTACGTTAGTTATTTTTGTGATTTCATGAAACAAAAATTTTTAAAATATTATTCACATGTTCCGCATATATATGGTATTGCATTTGTTCTTGATCCTCGTTATAGACTTGCCGCGTTGCCAAGTTGTATAGATTACTATTATAATTGTTTTTTTTCAACTCAAGAGTTCGATGATAATCCCATCGACCCTAAACAAGAATACAACGAGGTTAGTAATTTATTTCATCAATTGTATAATGAATTTTATGCACAATATGGTAATGCACCTCCTCCCATGCCGCGAACATCTACTTCATCTAAAGGAAAATCACTTTTAAAATCTGCATTTGGTTCTCTTATGAAAAAAAGTAGAGCAACTCCCGCTACTGAACAAAGCTCAGTTAACGAGCTTTCTATCTATCTAACATTGAATGTTGATTATGAAATTGGGGATGATTTTGACGTTCTTAAGTGGTGGAAGGACAATGAAAGAACGTTCCCGGTTTTATCAAAACTGGCTAAGCAAGTGCTAGCAATGCCGATATCAACAGTTGCCGTGGAACAAGAATTTAGTGCGGCCGGCAACGTCCTAACTGATTATAGAACGAGGTTGAGCCCGAGCTCTCTTGAGACGCTAGTTTGCTTCCATGATTGGTTGAAGGCCAAACGAAGAACTCAAGAAATGACCATCGCTCCCACCCGCCACTTTATGGAGGAAACAACCACCGAAGGCGGAGATTCCGATTGATTTTTTATTTCAAAATGTATTACATATTTTAAATGCATCCTAATTCTCAATTGTACTTTCTTATTTGAAATAAATATACTTGAATTATTTTATATTATTGTGTACATCAATTCAATAATTCAATTCAATAAAATTCATTTGTAAACTTGTACTTCATAATTCATATGTAGCACTTCTCAAATTAATTAATTGGTTACAATTTTACAAACTTATAACTTACAACTTGAAATTATTTTTGTAAAATCTAAAGGCTGTTTTTAAATTAAAATATGTAATATTAATATGTAAATTAATTAATTTGTTACAAACTTACAAGTTACAACTTATACACCTATTTTGTAATATTTGTAAATTATAAATCAAATCACTTTTCTAAGTAAAAATAGTTTTACTTAATTAAAAAATTAAAAACATTTTCCTTACACAATATGTATAATTTTCTAAATCATATCACTTTCCTTACACTTTTCTAAATCAAATCACTTTTCTCAAATGTACTTCCTATTTATTCGAAAATGTATTTCATATTGTTATTTTTTCCTCAATTCTCAAATGTACTTCCTATTTCAAATAAATGCACTTGAATTTTGTTTTTCATAACAATTATTATAATTATATAGTATAGAATATAAAAAAAAAAATGAAAAGGACCGACCCGAACCGGGCCCGGCCCGTGAACCGGGCGGGCCACCCGGCCCGAACCGGACCCGGGGTTACCCGGGCCGGTTCCGGGCCTCCCAAACCGTGAACCGAGGCCCGGCCGATTCAAGGCCCGAACCGGGCCCGGCCCGAACCGAGTCCATGCCTACATGGCACATCGACCCGTGGCTTACTCCGGAAGTCTTCTCACGATTCTCTAGAGATCATTGCCTATTCCGATGTTGATTGGGCTTGGTGTCCCGATACAGGCCGATCCACTTTTGCTTATGCAATATTTTTAGGACCGAATCTCATCTCTTGGCGGTCCAAGAAGCAGCCGACAGTCTCACGCTATTCCACAGAGGCTGAATATAGAGATGTGGCTTTCACAGTTCAGGATAGTGTGCACATTCGCTCTGTTTTATTCGAGCTAGGATTTCTTGTTCGTGTGCCTACTACCTTGTTTTGTGACAATGTCTCCGCTTCATATCTCTCAATTAATCCTATTCAGCATGCCAGGAGCAAGCATATTAATATTGAGTATCATTTTATTCATGAGCGGGTGGCCCATGGTGATCTTTGTGTCAAGTATGTTCCTACACAGGCACATAACGATTTACTCTTCTTCGTGACAATCTGCGCATTGTTTTCCCCTGCACGGCTTGAGGGGGTGTGATAGAGTAGATTATTTATTTAATTAATTAGTGTGAGACTCTTGTAATTATTACTCTTATTTCATATATATATATATATATATATATATATATATATATATAGATAAGAGATCACATACTAACCATGCTTAAAATACTAACTTACTAACTCAATAATATGCAACACATTGAACTTCAATATGCAGTACAAATAATGTAAAGATGCACACTGTGAATTTCAATATGCAATAAAAACAATATGCAAAACTTTGAACTTTAATATGCAGTACAAATAATATGCAACACTTTGAACTTCAATATGCAGTACAAATAATGTAAAGATGCACCGTTTTTGATAGTTTGTAGGTTAGCATGGGAGGAATGGTTAGTATGTGATCTTATATATATATATATATATATATATATATATATATATATATATATATATATATATATATATATATATATATATATAGGTTTTGGTTCAAATAAGAACACGATCTTATGAGAGAAATGAGAACGAATCTGGACCGTTAGATTTGCTTTAAGTGAAATTCAGTGTGCATTAGATGAAACTGTAATGTGCATTAGGTGAAATTGAAATGTGCACTAGGTGAAGCTGAAATGTGCAGAATAAAAAGTACGATGTGATGTTATTTTTGTACATTTTTTTCGCACATATCAGTTTCATCTAATGCACACTTGAGTTTAAATTTTTTATTTTGCACATTTCAATATCATCTAATGCACATTTCAGTTTCACTAAATGCACAATTTGGTTCCACATAATAAAATCTAACGGTCCAGATTCGTTCTCATTTTTCTCCTAAGATCTGTTTTTACCGGAACCGCTCCCTATATATATATATATATATATATATATATATATATATATATATATATATATATATATATACATATATATATATATATAATGATCTAAAAATCGGACTAGGCTGGTGCCTAGGCGTCGCCTAGTCGTTGGGCGCTAGCTCACTGAGGCGAAAACCATATAATCAGTCTTGTTAATCGGATACCGACTAATTGGTCGCACAAATCGACTAATAGGCCGCATAAATTGACTAATCAACCGCACCAAGCACCTACTCAGCCAAATCAACGGAGTACATAAAACTCAAGCAAACTGAGTTTGAACTTTTGGAACAATGGGACTGGATTTTCTGGATCTGGATGTGAAATTCCCTACTGGAAGAGATCGATGGTCTCCACAGGTCAGTGAAGCAACCCAAGTTTGCCCCAACAGACCTGCCGCGCGGAGAAATTGAGATTGCTGGACAATGAATGAGCCAAATATGAGCTCCGCCACCTCTTTCAGAATGCTTCCCGCTTCAGTCTTGGTTACTCCACCACCGTGCCGGTTGCCGTCCGCCATTAATGACTGCTTGAAGTCCAGGGGAAGCAAATTCATGGCTCTGACTAGGGCTGGGATCGGTTCGGTTCTTACTCAAATTGAGTGGAACCGTTATAAAAGTTTTAACTAATGAAATCGGTTCGGTTCCTATATAAAAAATCAAGAACTGTTATGGAACCGAACCGGTAGTTAACGGTTCGATTCTTCAATTTACCGGTTCCTAGAATAATTTTTTCTCATATAAGAATTAACACATAATTTACTTTCTACAAACAACATAAACACGTCGAAAATTCAAAACACGAGTATTAAAATTTTATTTGAAGCACTAATCACTTCAAAGTTCAAATATCAAAGGTCAAACTTAACTAATGAACCGTGAACATTTAATAGAACAAAAGATGATTTACATTTTCATGTAATAAATAAAGCATAAAAATCATTGTAGTGTGGGAGTGATGAAGGTTACTCGTCATCATGTAGCAAGAATAGGATGTCTACTTCAAGTCTTTCATAACATAAAAAAAATACATTAAGTTCACATGTATAGATATAAAAAACATTATTACATTTTATTGATTTATAATAAATCTAATAATTAGAAATATCATGAAAATAGTACAATAAAATATGTGCAATCAACTACAAGTTATTTGGGTTATTTTATATTTATAAAATTTATGTGATAGAACCAAACTTGATTTGTAGAAAGAATTTTAATATATTATATTAACATCATGTATAATATTTATTACTTCGTTTTCGTTGATTAAATTAGAATTGTTAGTTAAATATCTTATATTGTTTTATTATTGTTGTTGTGGTTGTTTTTAATAACGGTTCCTTAACAGTTCCATACACATATTTTTTATAGGAACCGAGAACCAAACCGTTATAACCCGCTTCAGTTCGGTTCCTACAAATGAGGTATTAATTGTTAACGGTTCGGTTCCTAGATGTTGTTAACGGTTCGGTTCAAATCGGTTCTACGGTTCCCGGTTCCAAAATCTCACCCCTAGCTCTGACCTCCTCCATTATCACGTTCATGGCAGGGAAGATGTCTCCGTACTTATTTTATCATTTACTACCTTCTTGTTATAACAATTCCAGGGGATAAAGAACAAAAGGAGTATATCTAGGCGGCGCCTAGTCGGCGGCTAGGCGCCCTAGGCACTAGGCAGTGCTTTGCCGCCCGACTAATGCCTACCGACTTCTAGAACAAAAAAAAAAGGATGACACCCCATCCCTGAGGGGCCCCCACCACCGACCGGGCGGCACGATGGGAGAATGTAAATTGGACTATAATCACAATCTGACAGATAGAGAGTGGGGCTCTGTCCCCAGTACTTGCAGAGACCCTGTGCATTTTTCAACATAGTAACCCCTCATCGCAGTTGCCGGGATTCAAACCCGAGACCTAACCCTTGTGGCACTCACTTGCTACCAGTTGAGCTACGCCCACCGGTACCGACTTCTAGAACATTGTGTGTGTGTGTGTCAGGGCTATCATTATGGTTACGCCCTGTATTATTTTTCACACTTTCTTCCCTTTTTCTAGTATTTGTCTGGATACGAAGTCCAAAGTCCAAACACATCCTTAATCAATTTACAAGAAGCTCACATTATATATGATTCAGTAAATTTTCGTGGGAGTGAATTCTCAGGATATTTTTACTTGGACTTTAATTTGTCCCAGACCAGACCAGACCAGATCAGACCAGACTTGGATAGTTATAAAATTACAAAGAAGTCATACCAGACCAGATCAGACTAGACCAGCAAATTACAGTCCAAGTAAAAACATCCTCAGTCACAAGCTTTCAAGAACTGCAAAACTAAAACGTGGTATAACTATCCACGAGAGACGACATTAAAGTTACAAGGTACAAACAGGTCAACATTTTCACCTCTGCCAAAGGATTTGCTCATCAATCTTGCTGAGCTTCCCATTATCAAGTCGTTTCCACGTCTTGACCCTCTCTACCCCATTCCATGACTTCTCCCCTCTCCCAAGTTCAGCCAAAATGACTCTTGCCCTCCTTGGCCACCCTGCAATACCATAACCATGATATCCAAAACCTCCACCATAACAAAACCATATGCCGTCAAGATTCCCACAGAAGTCGTTTGTGTGATCATGACCTATGAAAACCGCCTTTACATCTCCCGTAGAGACAAGTGTGTTTAGGACTCCAGAGTTCACAAATGAACATGCTATATGTTCCTGATATTGGCCAACAATACCTCTTACAGGTCCTTGTTTAATTTCTGGGATGGGAATGTGGAAGAAGGTTAATGCAGGGGCGACATTGGAAAATTCAGTTGATTTGAATTTGGAGTGCTGATATTGCCCCTGTCAATTTGCGACCTGCAACACGTTAATGACTCCCACCAGCAATGAAAATTCCATGTCATGATACAAACTTGTATCATTGTATGCAGCATCGCAAGGAAGGAGGGAGACCCAGGAGGAATGTCAATTAGTAGTTTGATTATGTGATAAATAAGGAAATCAAATCTAATAAAATTATCTCACACGGGCTAGATGCAAAGATGCTCACATATAAGATCTTAATATGGTAAGACAGTCATCACACTCAAATGAGCACAGGTTTCACAGGCCAAATGTAAAGATACAAATTCACACAAAGTTTTGATTACTCATTCTATAGCACAAAACCAACAAATTCATGGATGAAATATGAGTGTCTTAATTTTTTACCAGCTCTCTTATAATTAATTTGTTATCTTCTTTAAGTTCATATTGCTATTGTGCGCAAAAGGAATTCCGGCGCATGCATCATCATAATCCTAAAGTTACGCTGAAACATGAAAAGTGTCACCTCCTATTCAATGGCCTTTTTATATCTCTTATTCTATGACATTTTTTAGAATATCTTCCATACTGTAGACTGTAGTCATACAACCATATTACTAACCTCATCTCAAAATCCTACTATATGGACCATAGTCACATGAATCGCAGCACGCGGTACGAAAACGGGAATGCGGATATTAAAAATCCAATTTGCGGGGGTAGGCTTCTTCGGTGCGCGGTACCATGTGTTATGGTACGGTCTACCATAAACATATACTACGTACAATTTAGCAAGTATAAATCTAATATTAAACAATTAACTTCAACAAAACATTAAACAAACTTACCAAAGTTTGCAGCAACAATACAAGTTACAAAACCATTAACAAAGAATAGAAAGTTTCCAGAATTCCAACAGAATTCCAACGATAGCTTCAACAAAACGGGAAATAAACATCATCATTATCATCACCCTAGTGCCGCAAAGGCTCCCACCAATGGTGAGGTAAGGGGGGGATCGGATGTACGCAGTCTTACACCTGTACTAAAGCACCAAGAGACAGTATCCGGATAATCGCATTGAAAATTACATAAACTAATTGCTGCTTCATATTCCATCATATTCCCAAGCCAAAAAATAGTGAGTCTTTGGCTCCATTGCAAATGATGAAAAAAAAAACAGGAAATAAACATAGCTTCAAAAAATATTAAACATAGTTTCAATTTTCATCAAAAAGAGTCAACATAATTTGCAGCAAACTACTAAATCCTTGGTCTCTTTCCTTTATCATTTGTAGCAACATCTTTTCTAAATTTTCCCATTATAACTCATCTAATCTTGCACTTGAGCCTTTCACATACACACTTTTAGGATTAATATCTCACCTCTTATTCGGGCTAGCTTTGTAACTTTCAAATAAATCGTGATTGTAGATGAATGTTTGAATGAATACCAATTTGTCATTCCTTTTACAATTCAAACGATTTCTCTTCACCCTGTAAATGTAAGAGTAAGTGCTCAATTTCCTCTCACCCGAGTAACTACTTATAGGCAACGATAAAACCTTTTTTGCAACCTCTACTAATTCAGGTGTCTTTAAACCATATGTTGGCCGCCAATCAATGGCCTCCATAGTCACTGCATCCATCTGAGCTGCCGTCATAGTAAAAAGATTCTTCTTCATGTAAATCCTTGCAAATTGTACTATTAAAAGTCGTTGTTCATCTGGGGTTTCGCCAATTTTTTTAAAAGCTTTCATCACACCTACCACAACTTCTTTATCCAAATTCGGAGCTTTTCTAGCAACTCCACTGATGCTAATTTCTCAAGATAACAAACATCATAAAATCGTGGTGATAAGGCAAAACCCAAACAATGCGAAAGAATAGTCATCTTCTCCCACTTTGCTAACACAATAGCCTCCACTTTTGGGAAGTATGAAGCGTATTGATTAGTAGCCATGATATCTTATCTTTTATTTCTCCCAACATGCTATCCATTTTTTCATAGATTTTTCCCACTTTTGATCCTTCACCATCACAAAACTTGATTAGCAAAAAAATTAGCTTTGTTATTGCAAGAATGCCATCAACGTCATCCTGAAATTCTTCACTCCTAATTGTATGAACAACTAACAGTCCAGTTACTTGTGTTTTCATCCCCTTATTTTACCCAATCCCTCCAAGAATTGAGGGCAATAATCGTTGCAAGAGCATCTCTACAATTCCTTAATCTTTTCAAGGAAATATAATGGGATGCAAATCCAATCTTAACAACTTTCAACAGCTTTGAATTATCTCTAAAAATTGTTGAGGCTTGGGTATGATTAAGAAAATACTTCACAATAACTTTCCCTCTCCTATACGTATTCATCAACCAATCAAGTTCCTTTACGAGATCTTTGAAAATCAAATTCAAGGTATGAACACAACAAGGAGACCAAAATATGTGTTTGTACCTTTTCAATTTCCCTACCCACGGGCCACATCTTTGCAATTTACTGGATGTCGATCACAACTTGATGGACATTGCTCGATCCTACGGTTTGAATTGCTCCAAGCAAGAAATTTGAAATTGCCACACCAGTTTTTTTAATCCAGAGAAGTTCTCAGCATGCATTAAACATTGCACCACGACTTTTTACTGCAATGACATTGATCAAGGGTTTATGCATCATATGACCACCCATCAGATACGATAGAAACACCTTGTGAGTACAAAGTATTTTTTAACCAGTGTCAGGTCCTTTTCGACATCTTTAACGCATTCATCAAGCAAAATAGTCCTTGCTTTCTCACTTGATGGAAGTTTGTAACCTGAGGGTGTTTTGTTGATTGCAATTACCATTTCTATAAATTGAGAAATGCGCAATACACTAAAGGGAATACCGCTTTCACACAATCCTCTCATTCCAAACACTTCTTTGGAATAACTGAGAGAAGTATGGTGGATTTGAATGTCATGAGAGGATTGTTTGGAAACGATATTCCCTTTAATGTATTGCTCAATCCTCAATTTATGGAAATGGTAAATGCAATCAACAAAGTACTCGCAGGTTACAAACCTCAACCAAGTGAGAAAGCAATGACTGTTTTCCTTGATGAATGTGTTAGAGATGTGGAAAAGGATCTAACACCGGTTAAAGATACTTGGTATTCACAACGTATTTCTATTTTATGTGATGGGTGGTCTAATATCAAGCATAAACCCTTGATGAATGTCATTGCACTAAATAATCATGGTGCAATGTTCATGTATGTTAAGAACTTCTCTGGATTGGAAAAAACTGGTATGACAATTGAAAATTTCTTGCTTGGAGCATTAGAAACCGTAGGATTGCACAATGTCCTTCAAGTTGTGACCGGCAGTGCAGCGAATTGCAAAGTTGCGGCCTACGGGTATGGAAATTGAAAAGGTACACAAACACATATTTTGGTCTCTTTGTTGTGTTCATACATTGAATTTGATTATCAAAGATCTCACAAAGAAACTTGATTGGAATACATATAGGAGAGGGAAAGTTATTGTGAAGTATTTTCTTAATCACACCCAAGCCTCAACAATTTTTAGAAATAATTCAAAGCTGAAGTTGAAAGTTGTCGAGACTAGGTTTGCATCCCATTATATATTTGTTGAAAAAATTAAGGGATTGTAGAGAGGCTCTTGCTACGACTATTTCCCTTAATTCTTGAAGGGTTTGGGTAAAACAAAGGGATAAAAACACAAAAGTAATTAGACTGCTAGTTGTTGAAACGATTAAGAGCGAAGAATCTTGGGAAGATCTTGATAGCATTCTTGCAATGACAAAACCAATTTTCTTATTAATCAAGTTTGCGATTATGAATGATCGAAAATGGGAGAAATCTATGATAAAATGAATAAAATATTGGGAGAAATAAAAGATATCATTGATATTAATCAATACACTTCGTACTTCACAAAAGTAGAGGCTATTGTGTTAGCTAGGTGGAAGAAGATGACTATTCCATTACATTGTTTGAGTTTTGCTATATCACCATGATTTTATGATGTTTGTTATCATGAGAAATTAGCACTCAGTAGAGTTACTTGAAAATATCCGAATTTGGATAGAGAGGTTGTGTTAGTTGTGTGATGGAGGCTTTAAAAAAATGGCGAAACCTCGTAAAAATAACAGCTATTAAGAGAACAATTTGCAAGGATTGACATGAAGAAGGAATTGTTTGCTATGGGAGCAGCTCAGATGAATGCAGTAACTATGGAGGTCATTGATTGGTGGCCAACAACTAGTCCAGAGACACCTGAATTAGCGGAAGTTGCAAAAAAGGTTCTATCGCAGTCTATAAGTAGTTACTGAGCTGAGAGAAATTGAAGCACTTACTCTTACATTCATAGTGTGAAGATTAATTGTTTGAATTGTAAGAGCTGACAAATCGATATTAATTCATTCAAACATTCATTTCCAATCACGATTTTCTGAAAGTTACAAAGCTGGCTCGAATAAGAGGTGGGATATTAATCCTGAAAGTGGGTATGTGAAAGGCTCAAATGCAAGACTAGATGAGCTGCAATGGGAAAACTTAGAAGAAGATGTTGCTCCAAATGGTAAAAGAGGCCGAGGATTGAGTAGTTTGCAGCAAATTATGCTTACTCTTTTGATGAAAGTTGAAATTGTGTTTACCGTTTTTTGAAGTGGTGTTTATTTCCTATTTTGTTGAAGCTATAGTTGGAATTCTGGAAACTTTCAAGAACTGTATGTAATTAATATTATATTAATTATATTTATACAGTAAATTGTATGTAGTGTATGTTACCATACCATAACAAATGGGACAGCGTACCGCATACCGAAATAGCGTACCGAAGAAGCCTACCCCTCACGTATCGGATTTATAATATTCGCGATTTGTGTTCCTGTTTTCATACCGCGTACTGTAGCGTACCGCGATCCATGTGACTATGGATGCAAAAATGAGGATGTAATTATGTGAATACATGCATGTAGTTGTATGTAATTATGGAAAGTCTGTGACTGTGCGCAATAGAAACTTGCTAAACCTGATTTCCTTTAGAAATGCCACGAAGCCATTGAAGTTGAGACTCTTTAATCCATCCATATGTTCGAACTCCATGGACTACGGCTCTGTCTCCACTGTCAAGAAAATAGAGATTAAGGACAGTGCTATTCACATACTGTGAGCCCGGAGCACCCCATACTCTCAGGTTATAATTCCCAAACCCATCAATCTGTGGGGCCTGGTTTTGGTTGCTTGGATCAGAGGCAGCCTCTTCAGCTGAAGGAAAAGTTTTTGACAAAGAGTAATCCATGAGGGAGATGAAAGACATCAATTCTTCACGATTCATGGTTGATTCTTGATCATGGTTTCCTAAAACTGCTGCCCAGGGAAGCCCAGCTTTTATAACTGGCGCAAAAGCTCTGAATAGAGATTCAGCTGCATCTGTGGCACTTGTTCCAAATATATTATCTCCTATAAGTCAAAACAAAAGGGATAGATAGATCACATGCAGAGAAATAATGAGAAGTAGCTAAGTAACATGAATTTTAAGACATCCAAAATCTTGTTATGTCTAACTGAGTGGATATAGTTTCAGAGTTCACAATTCTGAAGCTCTTTTCGTCATGGAGGGAGAACTTTAGCAAGCCATATGAATATGTTTTACCTGCCAATATTTTCTTCTGGAAACATATCCCATGTTGAAATCACATCTCCTTGATTTACCTATGTTCTAAGCACCTTGTTAAAACATACTCCACATGTGTCATGCGATATCATCATAAATTATTATTTATACAAACAACTGAAATGCCATTATGGCATTATGACATGCATGCATCATCACATCCAACAGAATCTGCCAAAACTTTAAACATACTATTTTACGTTTTGAAATATCATCCACATTTGCTACTTGTCTAACTCTGTAATCGTCGTTTCCCGAAATAATCACTTTCACAGTCTCCGAAGTCCTAACAAGAAATATAAAGAATCACAAGTATAACTGAAAGAAAATTTAGAAAAATTATCTCTATCAAGACAAGATTATCTTTATGTTAAAATGCCCTTTGGATACTGAAGATTACTCAATTTTTCTTCTCACAGAACAGATGTTTGTTCTCACAAACACAACATGTCTTGTGTGCGCAAAGACAAGCTATGTCTCCGAAAAAAATGTCTTTGAGATGGGTGTCATACAAGTGATATACACAAGATGTGAAAAATAGAAAATCCATGGTTTATAAGTTGTACAACATGCCCTTCAATCTACCCATATGGCCATATACAATGGCTTGTCACCCAATTACAAAGGAAAAATCATTTTGTACTACTCTTACAGGGTAAATGCTACATAGTATCAATATAGGGCTCACATGAGAAAGAGTGACTTTTGATTTAACGGTGAGATCGAGTGCCAAGTAAAAGTAGTAGAAAAGTATGGACAGTCAATAATCTTCCATTAGTAAAATTATACTTCTTGCAATTAACTGCTGACTCTGTCCCCCGTCATCCCTCCGTCCCAAGGAATTTATCAAATTTTCCAAAAAATAGAGTTTTTATGTGAACCTCTCTTTTGCTGAGATAGAGTACAACAACACCCTACACTTCGATAACAATCCATTTCCATTATTTCATGTGAAGTGCTTACACATATCACACAAATTCTGTCACATAACATCACTTCTTTTCCTCTGTTATCACTTACCTAAAGTTAATTCTGAAAGACATCTCATATCAAACAGTAAGCTAAAAATTCTGTACATTTATCTTATCTAGTACCTCAAATAGATGTTCTTTAGTTCAACAGTCAGTCTTGCATAATGTGTCAATATAATGTATTTATGTGACTAAATCAACAATAGAATACCCGTAAAAGCAACGAAATCGGGCTTCTCGAGTTGAATCATCTTTTCAAGGAACTGAGTAGTGTTGAGATCAGAACAGTACGCGACCTCACTGTCCAGCACATCCCTGCATCTAGTCCCCAGTCCATTCCCAAAATGCATGTCAGCTACCTGAAAAATAACGATATACCCAAATCTTCACCCCAGTAGTCAAAGCAATCAATAACAACAAAATCTACAAAATTTTACCCCGAGATGTCCTGAGATCATATTACCGGAGAAGCATATTATACCTGAAGGATTTTGAAAGTTCCATCAGAGTTGAACCGCAGGGGAAGCGGTGGCAGCTTCTTGACTCTGACATTTTGGGGATTGAGGGTGAGTTTTGGGGATATAATCAGTACGTCAACAAAATGAAGGAAGGCTATTGTGAGAAAAGAGAATGACAAAGTTTGGATCCATGTTGAAGAAATTTCCATTTTCTCAATGTTCTCATCGCTTAATCTTTAGAAAAGTTCTAAAAATTGCATTCATTTATTAAAATTGTTTTCTCACAATGCTATCTGCAAAACGTTACGTCTGCTGAAGTTCTGGGATTGCCCAGACTCACAAGTTTTTCTAAAAGGGATCGGGAAAAAAAATTAAGGAAACGGAAATATGCATACATGACGAAATAAATGAACATTTATTATTTCCAATTTTCCAAATTCCAATACACACAAAAACATATTTTGAATCCCGTCAATTGCGATGAGAGGTTACTAGGTTAAAAATGTATATGACTTTTGCAAGTACCGGGGACGGAGCCTCACTCTCTATCTATTAGATTGTGATTATAGTCCAATTTACATTCTCCCATCGTACTGTCCGGTCGATGTTAGGGGCTCTCAGGGATGGGGTGTCATCTTTTTTTTGAATGACAACTACTATCAAATAATTAATTTGGCAATACACACATATCCGAATTAAAATAATTAATTCGACAATTAGTAGGTTTGGAGTTATTAACCTTTGTTGTCACACATCTTGATGCAGGAACTAATCCTCCAGTGATGAAACGGGCCAGTCAAGAAGAGAACTTGAGACCTTTCAAAGTAAAAGAAATAGATTTTTCACATTGGTAATTTATTTCTACTTGTGGTATTTATAATAAGGTTGATACGTAGTACTTATTGCTATGACACCAAAATTTTACTCAAAAAATAGTGAAACATAATGAAGTAACAACACACTTTCAACAATAAGATTTTCTATATTTTGGGCGTGATGTGTTCAAATGTTATACACAGCACTAAACTGTCCAAATCAACCCACCACTGTTTTAAAAAAATGTTTGTAGTCTTAAATTCAGAGATAATCACAACTTAGGAATATTGGTGATTGAGTATATGGCCCAGGAACCCCGGCCCACAGGCTCCCACTACTCCAGCACAGGCCCAAGAAGCACAAGGGGCCCAAAGCACAGCGGCCCAAGATTAGAGAAGCCCATGGTGTGCCTAGGGTAGCCTTGGGCAATATGACCGAAGGCTCCGAATCTCACAGGACTGCTAGATTTGGGCATGTAAAGCTACTGGATGAAAACAGCAGAAAATGGTACCCTCCGGCAACTGGATGCCTTCGGCACACATAGAGCCTTCGGCATAAGGGTACCCTTCGGTCATATGATCCGAGCCGAAGGGTCTGTGCTCTACGAAGCTTCCTCTAGAGACAAGTAACCACCGCATTTAATGCGGCATCACGTCCAACCACCGCATTTGAAGCGGTGCACATGCATATGCCGGTGTCACCCCGATTGAGGTGACCCCTCGGCGTTAGATTGTTGACATGTGTACTCTCATCGCATTTATTGACACCATGACGCTCTCTGTTATTGAAACTCAGCTGAGCATGAAATGCAGCTTAATCGGATTAAAGAAATATGTGCTCAACATCAGGGAATCAAGGATGCCAGATTTATTGAATTGAATAAGACTACTTTGTTGTACTTCTTTCCTTAACCAACTTCTGGCTTTTCTTCCATAAACGCATACTATGAGCCAGGGCCGGCCTAGGGCATGGCTACCTAGTGCGACCCAGATTTTTGAAGGGCCGGAAAAAAAAATTGTATTACACTCCAGTCCAAAATTCCATGCGTCAATCTAAATATGCTCGAAGAATGTCTCTTTTTATAAAAATTATAAGTTATTAATGACTATTTTTATTACGTAGTATTACGTTTATTAGTAAGTTGTATTTTAAGACAATTTACTTGTGTTGCAACTTGAAAAAAGGCTCAAATTTTATTTTCGCACATGGTCTACATTTCTTCGGGGCCGGCCCTGCTATGAGCTACCATAAGTTTGCCTGTAAAGCAGGACCATTTTCTACCTTCAAAAGGTCACACTCCAATTCAATATGTAGCTTAGTCAGGCCTTAAGTTGCTAAATAGAATGATTAAAGAGGCCTTGAGTGTGGTTCTAAATTTGTAGCGTGGTGATCCTTTTGACAATGAACTCCTAATACAACTATACAAGAGGTTCCAAAATCGGACATTTAAGTATTGGAGAAGGCAAGCTAGCTTTCAGGATGCTCAGATGCTATAATAATGATGTATACTTAGAGTGTTTAACTGTTTATATATATAAAAAAAAAATTGAATTAGTAACGGTATTCAAAAGAATAAATTGAGATGAATTGAAACTAATGCTCTGTTACCCATTCATCACTCTTTGAGTCTTCGTCTTAGATAGTACTTCTATCTGTGAAATAATGGGAAAAGATACTCCAATAGGAGCCCTGACAAATATATTTATAATAGAAAGTTATCAAAATAGAAAATATTCCTAAATAGATATTAGACATATCCCTAAATAGATATTGGGTTATTATTATGAACTAATTCAGAAAAATTACATATGATGAAATGATGATAGATTAGACATGCATATTAGTTTGAATTTTTGTAAGACTTTTGGGGATCTTTGATAAAAAAAAATGAGTTTTTTATACCTTTGATCAAAATGAGTTATTCATTCACTCTTTCTTCACAATACAAGTTTTCAAATTTTTAAACATAAGGAATAGTTTATTTAGAGTTTTCCATTGAAAATATTTAATAAACCCAGAATTTTTTGTATCCAAATTGACTTCTAAATATTTATGAACTGTATTAAAGCATAATTAATATAATTCATTTATGTATTATCGGCACTTATTATTGTTGTATTTATCTCTTAGTTAGTTGCTATCCTTTCTGATCTTATCATATTGTTACGTAGATAGATGAATTACCTCCACTGTAATTGTATATATATGAGGTCTTCTCATTTGATAATATAACGAGAATCATCCTCTTTATGGTATCAAGAGCCTTCCTCTCACGAGAAAATTAGATCCAATTTTTTTTTCTCCACCTTTGGCTATGGCAATCACCGCCACCACCCCGGTCATCTCCCTCACGGCCACAAACCACTTTCCCATCAAACTCACGGCCACGAACTTTCCGGTCTGGAAATGCCAAGTCCAATCAGCTCTCATTGGATTGGGAATTGATGGTTACATTGACGGAACCATCATTACACCGGATCAATTTCTTGATATGGCAAAAACACAACTTAATCCCTGTTATACTATCTGGTATCGACAGGACAAAACCATTATCGGTGCACTACTTGGTAGCTGCTCGGATACTATCCAACCCATCATTTCATCGGCTCTCACCGCCAAACAAGCTTGGGACAAACTCAATTCCACGTATGCCAGTACATCTCGTGGCCGGGTCATATCCCTTAAAACCACACTGACCCGCACCAAAAAGGGCTCCCGGAGCATCCCCGAGTACCTCACAGAGATGCAGTCAATCGCTAATGACCTTGCCTTGGCTCAGAATCCGGTCTCGGAACAAGATTTCCTTGTTCACGTACTGAATGGTCTAGGGCCGGAGTTTGGTGATATTACTTCAGCCATACGTGTCAGGGAGACTGCCCTTCCTATTTCTGAACTTCAATCAATTCTCCTTGAACGTGAGGCCAAACTACATGAAGAAGCTGCTGCTGCTCCACCTTTGGTTCCTACGGTCAACATAACATATCAAAATCCAAGGTCCAATCCTCAATCTGATCGACGCTCTGCAGGAAGTGATAGGCGCACAAATGGCCCCAGACGTGGACGTGGGGGCATGCATCCATCTGCCTCACGTTCCACTCCCAGTGTGATATGCCGTTTTTGTGATAATCTTGGTCATGAAGTTCAGGCGTGCAGAAAACTCCAACGTTTTTTGCGTGATAATAAGATACCCTATCCGGCAGTTCCTAATATTCAGCACACAACAACTATGACTCCGGGAAATCAGCCATGGCTATTTGACAGTGGCGCGTCACACCATGTCACTTCCGATGCATCACAGCTTCCGGCATACTCTGAGTATGGCGGTCCAGATGAGGTTCACTTGGGTAATGGTAAGTCACTTGCTATCACTCACACTGGTAAAACTACCCTACCCACTCCCACACGTCCTCTATCTTTATCTAATATTCTATGCGTACCAGCCATTCACAAAAATCTTGTGTCAGTTGCTAAATTGTGTCAAACTAATAATGTTTCTGTTGAATTTTTTGCCTCTCATTTTGTTGTCAAGGATCGCATTACGGGGGCGCCTCTACTACGAGGGGAGAATCATCATGATGTGTATTATGCACCAGTTCGTTCGTCACCACAAGTTTATCTGTCTCAAGCCTTGGGCTCCTCAGCCTGGCACCATATTTTTGGTCACCCATCTCATCGTGTTTTCAAGTTCTTAGTCAGTCAAAATACTATTCCAATTTCAGGTCATGACACTGCCGTGTCTCATTGTAATTCGTGTCATATTAATAAAAGTACCAAACTTCCATTCTTTAATAATACCATGCATGCCAGTCAACCACTTGAACTTATTTATTCTGATGTTTGGAGTACGAGTGATGTTTCACATGATGGCTACCGTTATTATGTAATTTTTGTGGATTTTTATTCCCGTTACATATGGCTTTATCCACTCAAATTAAAATCTGAAGTGTCATTAATATTTCCACAATTCCATAAATTAGTGGAAAATTTTTTTCAACGTCCCATTATATCACTTTTTAGTGACAATGGTGGTGAATATCTCAAACTTAAGTCCTATCTAGTTAGTCATGGTATATCTCATTATACTACACCACCGCATACTCCTGAACATAATGGTATTGCTGAGCGTCGACATCGTCATATCGTTGACACCGGCCTCACGTTGCTTCATTACTCTGGCATGCCTATTAAATATTGGCCTTATGCCTTTCAAACCGCGGTCTACTTGATTAACCGACTTCCTACACCAATTCTCAATAATAGTACTCCATATCAAAAATTGTTTGGTGTTGTTCCTAATTACACCAAATTGCGTCCGTTCGGTTGTCTATGCTATCCGTGGTTACGGCCTTATTCCACCACCAAACTCCAACCCCGTTCTCAACCGTGTATTTTTGTTGGATATTCCACCTCACAATCTGCATATCTCTGCCTTGAACCTCGCTCTGGCCGTCTTTATGTGTCTCGGCATGTTCGGTTTAGTCATACAATATTTCCTTTCCGTCACCCGGGGTCCATCTCTGACGTCATGCATACCATGCATAAATTAAATGCGTCCTCCTCCTCACATGACACCACCGAACGGCCTGGTCCAAGTCGCCCCTATATTCGGCAGAACATCCCCCTACTTCGATCCTATACCCATCACACACCAAATTCTATCTCCAATCCCCCTAACCCACCGCCTCCAATCTTATCCCAACAAACTCTCCCTGACACTCAGCCCAATTCATCCAGCACATCCGTATCCACTCCACCCCATATTACCTCATCATTATCCTCCCAGAATAATACTCCTCCATCCCACGTGACACCATACACCACCACTAACCCATCCAATCCCTCCATCACATCTCCCAACCTACCCATACAGCCCCAAACTCGTCCTTTACGTAACCGCCATCCTAATCCAAAATACATTGGAGGCCCATTCCTTAATAATACTCTGACTCACCCTATACCCGTCCAACTTGAACCCACCAGTGTGAGAGCAGCACTCCGTGACCCGAAGTGGAAACAAGCCATGGAAGATGAATATGCGGCACTTCAACGTAATTGTACCTGGGAACTAGTACCTCATACTACTCAAAAACCCATTTCATGTAAATGGCTTTTTCGGGTCAAACGACATCCTGATGGCTCTATTGCGCGATTCAAAGCGCGTCTTGTAGCTCGTGGCTATCTTCAACAACCGGGACGTGATTATTTTGAAACGTTTAGCCCGGTTACTAAACCTGCCACAGTACGCATTATTCTCACTATTGCCCTTGCACGGAATTGGCCACTTCGTCAACTTGACGTTAATAACGCCTTTCTCCATGGCACACTATCTGAGGAGGTATTTATGGTGCAACCGCCTGGCTTTGTCGATTCTACACATCCCAAGCATATTTGCCGACTCCGCAAAGCATTATATGGCTTGAAACAGGCGCCCCGGGCTTGGTACCAGGAGCTCTCCAATTTTTTGCTCTCCGTTGGTTTTAGAAAATCTCGAGCGGATACATCCCTTTTTATTTATTCTCATCAGGATGTCACTCTATATTTTCTAGTGTATGTCGATGATATTGTTTTAACAGGTAACAGTCCACCATCTCTGGAAAGATTTGTGTCTCAACTCACTGCCCGTTTTTCGGTTAAGGATTTGGGACCACTGCACCATTTTCTGGGAGTTGAGGTAATCCCTCATGCGCATGGATTTTTTCTCACACAACGGCAATACATTATTCATGTCCTTGAGGAGTGTGGTATGCTAGGAGCAAAAGAAGCAGATACTCCTATGAGCACCTCTGTTTCTTTGCATGCTGAGCCAACTAATGCCATCACGGATGCCACCCAATTCAGGAGGTCCCTTGGTCTTCTTCAGTACTTAGCATTTACCCGGCCAGATATCTCTTTTGCAGTCAACAAACTATCTCAACACATGCATCAACCACAAACCGTGCACTGGCAGGCGGTCAAAAGAATATTGCGGTATCTTAAAGGGACTCTAAACCATGGGTTAGTTCTTCACAAATCTGTCAACCTTCATATTTCTGCTTTCTCGGACTCAGATTGGGGTAATATTTATGAACAAGGAAGATCCACCACTGCCTATGTTCTCTACCTCGGACCGAATGTTATCTCCTGGAAATCTGCAAAACAAAAATGTGTGGCCCGTTCATCTACTGAGGCGGAATATAGAGCTGTAGCTCATGCTAGTGCGGAATTGCTATGGGTGCGTCATCTTCTCTCTGAACTTCGAATACCTATTCCAGCAACACCAACCCTCTTCTGTGACAACCTTGGTGCCACATATGTTTGTGCTAATCCCGTTTTTCACTCCCGCATGAAACATCTTGCTCTGGACTATTTTTTTGTTCGGGATCTCATTGAACAGGGAAAATTAAATGTTCAGCATATATCTACAAAACTACAGATAGCAGATGTCTTGACTAAACCACTGGGTCGATCTCTATTTTTTTTCTTCCGGTCCAAGCTGGGAGTTTCTGACGGCACCTCCATCTTGCGGGGCGTATTAAAGCATAATTAATATAATTCATTTATGTATTATCGGCACTTATTATTGTTGTATTTATCTCTTAGTTAGTTGCTATCCTTTCTGATCTTATCATATTGTTACGTAGATAGATGAATTACCTCCACTGTAATTGTATATATATGAGGTCTTCTCATTTGATAATATAACGAGAATCATCCTCTTTAAACTGAACCTGCTAACACTTCTACCGTTGATTATTTCCTTGGAGTTTTGTGCATTCAAACCTTAAACATATACTATTAGTATCAAATCAAGGATTTGGAAGTTGAAATTCATCATTTTATAACATGAAAGATAGAAAGTTTCCTGCAGAAAAACATGAAGGATAGATGTACTGACTCTAAACGAAAACTCACGAATTATGTTTCTTTTTATTAATTACGAAGTACATTTAATGTACATGCACCCACCCACATTGACCAATTTTCTCTAACCAATGTCCAGCAGAGTTAGAAGTTGTCAAATATTTTCAAATCCACTCCAACTTTTGCAGTTTTGGGCTCAGCATCAATCATGAGCTTCTATTAATCTCAAAAATGTTTCCCCATACATCAAATTTCATGGAAAAAACTTTTCAGTGTCACTTTTCAATGAGAGGGAAATACTTCTCTTAGCTCTTTCTCATCTTCTGTTCTTGAAAAAAAATCCATTTACCAAAAAAAAATCACTATCCATGAGGAGTAGAATTATTGGTTTCATGACTCTGTTTTTGTCTTTCATAGACCTTTCAACAGCTTTCGTTCCCCAAGACAATTACCTCATCAACTGTGGATCAGATAGAGACGCCATAATTGAGAACAGAAACTTTGTTGGAGATTCTGAAAAGCCAGGCTTTTTCCAAGGTAAATCAGTTGTAGTGAAAAACCAGAGAAGCTTTACTTCCAATTTATCTTTTCTTTACAGTACAGCTAGAGTTTTCACAACTGCCTCTGCTACATATTCATTTGACATCAAGAGATTTGGCACCCATTTGGTGCGTTTACATTTCTCTCCTTTTATTTATGAGAATTTCAACCTCCACAAGGCAAATTTCAGTGTTTCAGCTAATGGGGTTTCACTGTTGAGGGATTTCAGTGTTGGCTCTAATAATAGTGTGCTTAAAGAGTTCGTTTTGATGGTTGACAAGGTAGAGCTTTCAATCTTGTTTACACCGACGCGCGATTTTGGGTTTGTTAATGCAATTGAAGTGCTTTCTGCTCCTGTGGATCTTATTCTTGATCCCGGGATAAAATTGGTTAGCCCCAATGGAATTGTGGAGTTTAATCAGAATGTCACTTTGCAAACCCTAGAAACTGTTTACAGGGTTAACGTTGGAGGACCACAAATAACACCTTTCAATGACACCCTATGGAGAACTTGGATTCCAGATGAAGACTTTCTAGTCTTCAAATCTACTGCTAAACTTGCTAGGATTAGTCATGCGCCGAATTACCGTAAGGGTGGGGCCACAAAAGAGATCGCCCCCGATAATGTCTACATGACTGCACAACAGATGGATTGGGAAAAGGCAACTTCCGATTTTATGTTCAATATAACATGGGATTTTCCCATAGGTGTTGCACCTAAGGAAGATACCATACACTATTTTGTTCGGTTGCATTTCTGTGACATTGTTAGTTCAGCTCCTAACCAATTATATTTCAATGTGTACATCAATGAAGTCATGGCGTATAAAGATCTTGACTTGTCTGCACTTACCTTCCACGTTCTTGCATCACCTTATTATCTTGATTTTGTTGTTGTGAACAAAGCTAGTAGTGGTATTTTACAAATCAGTGTTGGCCCATCCGATCTCAGCGGTGTTTTAAGGAAAAACGCTATCTTGAATGGAGTAGAGATTATGAAGATGTTGAATGTTGTCTCTCCTGCGGGAGCTAGAGTGTATAAGTGGGGAAATATTTGGGTTTTAATTGTTTCTCTTGTTGGTGGAGTGGTGGGATTGATGATAAGCTTAGCATTCGTCACCATCCTGATAATGTCTAAGTGTAGAAAAAAGAAACCAAAGCCAAAGCAAACAGAAAATGCTGGTTGGACCCCTTTACAACGACATGGAGGAAGTTCTAAAGCATTGCCGGAAGGGACTGAACTTGTTTCCTCAGGCCCAAATGGATATCTGGGGTTGAGAATTCCTTTTGCAGACATACAATCAGCGACAAGCAACTTTAATAAGAGTCTGATTGTCGGTACAGGTGGATTTGGCATGGTTTACAAAGGAGTTTTAAGTACAGATAACAACAGAAAGGTCGCTGTCAAACGTTGCATGCCAGGTTCCAAACAAGGCCTCCCTGAATTCCACACAGAGATCTCAGTTCTTTCTAAGATTCGACACTGCCATCTTGTTTCACTTGTTGGTTATTGCGAAGAGCAGTCCGAAATGATTCTTGTTTACGAGTATGTTGAGAACGGAGCTTTAAAGAAGTACTTGTATGGCAACAATCACTTACCACCATTGTCTTGGAAGCAAAGGGTGGAGATATGCATTGGAGCAGCAAGAGGGCTCCACTACCTCCATACTGGTTTTTCACAAGGGATTATCCACCGTGACATAAAATCAACAAATATTCTGCTTGATGAAAATTTTGTTGCTAAAGTTGCTGACTTTGGCCTCTCGAGGTCTGGTCCATGCCTTGATGAGACGCATGTAAGCACTGGTGTTAAAGGGAGTTTTGGGTATCTTGATCCTGAATATTATCGGAGACAGCAACTGACGGATAAATCAGATGTTTACTCATTCGGTGTTGTGCTTTTTGAAGTTTTATGTGCACGCCCCGCGATCGACCCTTTGCTCGAGAGGGAGCATGTCAATTTAGGTGAGTGGGCCATGCAGTGGCAGAAAAGAGGTCAGCTGGATCAAATCATTGACCCAAACCTTAGAGGTCAGATAAAACCGAGTGCTTTAAGAAAATTTGGCGAGACAGCTGTGAAGTGTTTGGCTGACTACGGGGTTGACAGGCCAACGATGGGGGATGTGTTGTGGAACTTGGAATATGTGCTTCAGCTTCAAGAGAATGAATCTGATGAAGCCCATCTTCCAAGTTCTTTAGAGAACCCACCACCATTAAGAGCTTATTCCGCTTCTAGTAGCTTAGCAGATCATGGTGATGCTGCTTCCGACATATCTACCAGCCAGGTGTTTTCCCAGTTACTTACCCATGAAGGTAGGTAAACTATTGCTTCAAACACCAAATACCATCAATCCCATTGCGACGATGCTACTCAGGTATATTTATCAACATGTATAATAAAAGTTTAAGACTGGATTTATGTTTATAAAGTATACACATGTATGTTCTTCGGGTGTTAATAGAGATCTTTTTTTGGAAATTGTAGTATATGCTTTGCGAGATAAAGCGTGATTGTATTCTGATGAGTTGGGGGATAGATATTCTGTAATTTTATGGACAGAAATATATGTTTGTTGTCAAGTTTGCTCAAAGTAGTATGACATATTCACTTCAAATAAAAAAAATCTTAATTTACACTACACATCTTAATTGTGTTAAGTTTAATAATGATGGGCTTTAGAGATCTGAAGTCAAGAGAGGAAATCAAAGACCGGATAAGGTTATTTATAGATAAACAAAGACCGGGCTTTGCCAACTTATAAGCGCTACTTGTGTGAGACGTGTACTATGCCAACTTATAAGCGCTACATGTGTCTGGGAACTAGCTGCACGTACAACGTGTTTCTTTCCCTTGGAAGGAAGGCTTAACAATGATTGGTGACCAAACCGGATTAGTTCAAGTGCATGTGCTCTAACAAGAGAGTTCTTCTGCACTCCTATGATTCTATGAACCTACTGAACTTCTGGCGTGCATCCAAATTCGGGTTGTAATCCATGATTGCTCGTCCGGGAAGGATATACCATTATGTTGGGCACTCTGCTCTAGTCTTGGCTGAGTCCATCTGGTTTGTGCTTGCATGGACCAAATCTCTCAGACTTGGTCTGAGAAGGTATATACCTTCTTGACCGTGACTCACACACTCATACACTTCATCAAGTCAGTTAGAATCAATCTAACATAAAACTCTTTTAACCTATGAATCAAGTGTAAAAGTAGTAACACAAAGAGGCTAAATAAGCAAGAAAACTTTGTATTGTTGTATAGTCTGTTGATACTACTTACATCCAATAAAATGTGGACTTCATTAGTTGATATTACTATTAACAAAAACGAAATTCTGTGGATTGTAAAATGGACGGAGTAATAGAGATGAATGTACATTCAAACTTAATACCATTTCACTCTATTGAAACAAATGTAAACTTATTGAAGTTTTGTAGGGTAGTATTCTTTCTGGTTTGACTTGAATGCTTATGCTATAATCAACATGAATATACGAGTATAATAATATGAATATTAATTAGGGACTCCCTATTTAGTAGCAATTAATGTGGGAGTAGACCTCTAGGCACAAGTTGTTTTCTCCTAGTAGAATACTTTGGATGACTTTTAGGGATCTTTGGTCAAGATGAGTTGTTCATTCACACTTTCTTCACAATACACTTTTTCAAACACCAAACATAAGGAGTAGTTTATTTTAGAGTTTTCCAATAAAAATATTAATCGAGAATCTTTTGTATCCAAATTGACTCTTAAATATTTATGAATTGAACCTACTAATAGTTTCTACCATTGATTATTTCCTTGGACTTTTGTGGATTCATACCTTAAAGATATATTACTATTAGTATCAGATCAAAGATTTCGAAGTTGAAATTCATCAATTTATAACATGAATTGTGTTTCTTTTTACTACGAATTATTTATATTTATGTCAAGTTCCAATTAAAATTAAATTCTCCCTTGAATGATATAATGCACTAAGCTTAATGTAGAATTAAAATAAATAAGTAATAACAAATAAAAAAGAAGCAATTACTCAGATTCTAAACTATAGATTAAATAAAATAATATTTTTGTGTTTACTAACAATTGTTATATATTTTTTTTAATTTGAAATGATATTATTATTATTAAATTGAAAAGGTTTAACATACTAGGAGGGTTAAACCAAAGCCTACTCTGAAATTATAGTACATATGTATAGCTAATAGCATCAAATTTGAGAATACCAACGATATGTTAAGTAATCGGCTACTCTATTCATTGTAGGGTGGATATATGTCATCGTCCACTTGCAT